GTGGGAGAAGCAGCCCAACTTCAGCAGCTCTAGAAGAGTTATGACTCCTCCAGAGTAATTAAGAGTCCTAACTATCTATCCCTAGGGGAACTACTCCGCACCAGGTTTGGTTTGAATAGCACGGCCAGCCAGGAGGCAGGGAGAGCTGCCCTCCACCAAGAGCTGGACGATGCACTCTGCTCTACAAATACGAGCACAAATGCAAAATTGCGTCCTCACCTACAGGGCATAGAGGTTTGTGCATAAGACAGCTACAATGCTTACAGCTTTTAGAGAAGGTCTTGGTACTCTGAGGTTGAGAATACTCGGGGCTTCTGACAAAACCATCCTGCCCATCTCCAAAGCAAAACCAGGAAAGGCCAAAAGCAAAACCACGAGCTCCTGGAACCTGAGTTACCTTCTGCTTTTTGCTCTAATTGGGCTTTCCCCAGTGTGGTGGGACTGTTTCACCCTCCAAGCAGGTGATACCTCCCTCCTGCCAGAGTCCATCCTCATGCTTTACTTACTCACAGATTCCATAGCCTCTCATCTTGCCCTGGGACCAGTGGCACTTGTAGCAGTCATACCGGTCTTCGGATCGACGTGGGACAAGGCATATTCCAAACCTAGGCGGTGCATACAGCAGAAGTCAGCACAGAGACAGGCACAGGAAAGGCAACTTGACTGCAGTTGAAGAAGCATGAAAAGAAAGGGCCTTCCACATTCCCAAACAGATTTTTGCGCCTAAGGTCAGCTCTATCCCCAAGATGATTCCCAGATGTCTACTGACTTGCTCCAAGGAAGAGCTTGTTCTGGCTCATCTACTTTTGAGCTGCAGAGCATTTTTCTACAGAACTACTTGCAGTGATATTTTTTTTCTTCTCTTCCCCTTCCCTAGTTTAGGGGCTGAATTAGACTACCAAAGCAATTGCCATTTTTTAAAAGTTACCCCAAAATAACTTTTTTTCAAGACATTTCACGTCAATAAATTCACCCAGATTTAGAGATTAGGGATTAGACTCATCTGACAAAATTCTCCATCTGAAAAGATCATCTGAGCCTGCTCACTTTGCTGTAGCAATCCAGACATTCTAGTCCACACTCAGCCTAAAGCACACATTTAAAATAGGTTAGATGAATTGGACTGTAACAGTGAATATTTCTCTCCATTGACTGCGAAGGGAACAAACTAGATGAGCTAGAAGCAGCCTTGCTTAAGCGAGATGGATTCCACACTAGAACCACCACCCTCTAAAATATCACTTTACCTCTAGTGAGAACCATTCCTTATTGTACTTTGAAAGCAAAAAACATCTTTTTAAGGCTTACCCATGCTCCAACCCTTCTTTGAAATCTCCAACGTGGTTCCGACCATCAGGCCACTTCAGTGTCCCCCTGCAATTGGAGGCAAGCATTACATGGGGAGAATGCCAGCAACAGCTGCAGTTCCAACATCAGGAGACACTCAGAGGCACAACCCAGGGATTACTCATGGCAAGACGTTTCCTTAGGGGACAGAGGCAGAAAAGGTCTCCAGGCATCACTGGAACCTTGAATCCGCTGTTAAGTGTTTCATACCACCAGGTTTTCATGTCAAGGAATAAGCTTATAGAATCTTCTTCCAAATTCACATATCTCAAAAGCATTTCGCAGTTTTGCTGGCTCATTAATTTAGAACGATGAATACGATTGTTTTGTAACTACATCACAGTGCTTGATTTAGCCCTCCAAAATTTCAGCAGTGCACAGCCCCGCAGACCAATTAATTACAGCCTCACCTGGGACTTTCTTATACCAGGCTTTCTGAAAACAAAAGAGGTGACCATTAACCTAAATAGCTCATATCTTCCCATCTGTTTTGTATGTGGGTTGTAAACATGATAACACAAGGCAATGGTGCAACAATGAGACTGGAATGGTCAACGTGATGGTCAAACATGGATGGTCATGCATGGACATGTCTGCTTGTGAATGGGTATTTTCTTCCTCCCTGTCTCCCCTTCCACCTGCACCCACTTGCAGTTTTAACCCTTGCATCAGTACAGATGCAGGCGGCTCCCTACACATTCCCTAGCAAAAGACAACACTAACCAGTGCAGAACCAAAACTGTGACACATCAGAATGACTTTTGCCAACCTTGTTGCTTTAAACACCCACACAAAACAGATAAAGGGCCAAGAGACTGGCTTTTGGTATTAGGATATGGGGAAGCAGTCAGATCCAATTAAGTGGACTTATGCATCTCAATTTACTTTATTATTATGAATGCAAAGCAAAGGAGAGCCAGCCAGAGAAAAATGCCTGCTCCAGTCATGGAGATGGTTTAAGCTACTTGTCAGCAAAGTTGATCTACTTCCACTTCAAGGCATCAACAGTAGTGAGGAAGAAGGCAAAGAATGAAGAAGCAGTTGTTGGAGAGCCACAATTCACACTACTGGTGTGAATTAGGTAGATGTGATAACTGCCCAGAAAAATCTCTGCCCAAACACCTATTTTATGCTTATTTTATGTGATTGTGAAGTAAAATAAAGCACAAGCTCTTCCATAGAAGATTCACTATTAAGTTTTTCTGGATTCTGGGTACTCTGAATATTTTAAGAAGATTCTTTCAAACCAAGTCTCTACATACTATTGAAGTAAAAAAAATAAAACCCAGGAAAACCCCCAGATCACATGTTGATGTCTGAGGAAATCACTCATATTTCTGGCTTCTGCAGAAAAAGAGAGACTATGCTCTACTTACGCGAAGGGGCCTTACTAGGGCTATTTAAGCTTAAACTACAAGCCACGCCCTTTTGTCAGGATTCATCCATAAAATTGGGTTGAACGGTTGGATTTAGCAAATAGGTCTAATGCTCCCCAATATTGCATATGAGGAACTTTTGTGTACTAGGCTATATTCATTCATTCACAATTCTTCCTTTGATAAAGGTTTGGATATTAAAATAATTTTTGATAGAACAGGAGAAAGCTTTTCCCTCACTAGCAAGCAAAGTTATTTATTTATTTGTCATCCAGAGGGTAAGATGTTATGCCTCAGGCTAAGATCCTGATGTTCGACATTATCTTAAGTCTAATTACAGGTACAACTAAATGCAATGCCTTCAGTGTGATCATTACCACATTATTAGAGAGAACCTCCAAAATTTACTCTATAATCCAGTACTGCTACCAAGACAGACACGATACAATAGGTCACACGCTGGGACTCATACTTTGAGAAAGCCCTAAAAACAAGGAGATGTTTCCCCAGGGGAAACAAGTCAGGCAGGAAGCAGGTGGCTTGGCACACCCAGTGCAGTTGCCTGTCTACAGTCTGTGGTCCAAGCCCTCAACCCAGCACGGAGCACCCCATGCTCACAAATACTCCTGAATCTGGATCTATACCACCAGGATCCAGGCAGCACTGTATAGAAAGAGCTGGGCCATCCTTGTGGTATTCTTGCTCAGGAAGGAGGTAAGAAGGGCTCCTTACTTGCCATGTGGCTTTCCCCAGTGCCATTCGCCCTCGTAGGTTGCGCTCTTGAACTTGCCCTCCAGCTTGAAGACGTAGCTGAAGAAGCGGCAGGACGGAGGCTCGGTGCCTTCCCCGGTCTTGCCCCACAGGGGGAAATCACGTTTCCCATTGAGAGCCTGGCGGATGGCTTGGTTCAACTTCCACTGCCAAACAGCCTGAGGAAGAGGAGGAGTGATGAAGCAACATGTGAAAAAAGCCACAGGAGGCCCAAGAAGCAGCAGCACGAGGTTGGGTTCTCCCCTACTTCGTGCTGTTCAGCCAGCTGTGTTGGTGCAAATCTACAGCACCAGTAGGAGGAATTAGCCTGGGTCCTGCAAACTGGATATTGCAAAAAGGCACCAAACTCCCAAGGCAGTTAGGCCTGATGCCCATAATCACTAGCCCTTGACACAGGACCACACTGGTGTGGCTTCACAGTTTCCAGTTGTGAAGTGCCCAGAGCAGACAACTTTCAGAGTCACGATATCATTCATCTACCATGGACTGTCCAAGCCACCTCTGCCAAATCAGAGAGGAAAAGGTCTTAATTTAAGCAGAGGCAAAGCCATAATTGTATGATCAGGAAGCTAAAATCCTGATGTTTACATAGGATTTTAGCTTCCATTCAGTAGCCAATGTTTCTACATGTAAAATGGGGCTACACCTCTGTGCCATAAACCCATCTCAGTGTATAGTACATGGCTTTGCAGGAGAATCAGGAAAGCCCTGACTACAACCAACCTTCATCTGAGGATCTTTTGCAGTCAGAAAGAATGTTTCTTCTGGTGTAATAATGCGGAGGACATACCTGGAAAGCAAAGGACATTAGAGACTATGAAAAAATAAGTTTCATGGTCAAGCAGCTGCTGCTGCTCCTCTTATTCCTCTTCAGAGGCAGGTAATGATACTTTCACAATATTTTCTTTTGAAAAGTACTTAACTAATCAACTCAATTTAGTTCCTTAGATGTGCAGCCAAAAGCATTTTATTACTGATTGATTTCAAGATGACAGCAAACATAAGCAATGCAAGTTTGAGCTAATGCAATCCCATCTGAGAAGCAGAGCGATGACCAATATCTCAGGATCAACTCCCTTCGCTAGTGGAAAGGAGATGAAGCAAGGATTTGAGTCAGTCTGTAGGTTCCACAGTCAAGCTGAACACTTTTTCCTCCAGTGGAAGCATTTTACTTACACTCCAGGAGCCGACTTCTCCCTCCAGCTTTTGTCCACCCATACAAGCTTCAGATCAAAACTCTGAAAGCTGTTCCCCTAGAGAACCAGAAAGGGAGAAGATATTCTTGTTATTGATGTAAATATCACTCTTTTCTCTCACCCCACCAATCTACTGAACACCAGAGCAAGACTGGCAGCGGTTCAAATTCCCTCCTCTGGGGTCTGCACACCTGTATCACACTATGATGATAGAGCGCAGGAGAAGGAAGTAAGCTCTTAGATTATCACTTTTAAGTGATGGTCCTTAAAGTCACAGCTATAAGTTTCTGTTCCTATAGTCCCTTTTAGATGACATATCTCTAAAAGAATTTATTCCTGATCGCAGGGGTACCTGATTCCTGGTACCCAGGAGGCCTTTTGCTTAAGATTTGACTTGGATCTGGACTTCAAATGCCACTTCCATGCAAAGGCCCCAGATTACAAGATTTCAGGAATCTCCATTTTAAGCAATAGCACAACAAACAGAATAAATTAAAGTATTTGGAATATTAGGTAAAGATTACATTTAAGGTTACATCTCCCATCTGTGTCTAAATACCTAATGTCTACACTATAGCACTGCTATCTGCAAGGATGTGGCTGAACAAACTCAGGGACTAGTAAGAACCTCAGAGCTCACCATGATCTGCGGGAAGGGGGTAAGAAGATTCAAATCCTCAACTCTACAGTGCTCTTTTTCAGTCCCCTTTCCACAGACCAAGCTAGCCAGGTCCATACCAGTCCAGTTACGCCTCCACAAGCTTTAATAACAGTCCTAGCAGCGGATGAGATATAGTGGGTGGTAACCGTTGACTGAACAGAGATGACTACAATGCAGATATCTCCACGTGAGCTGGTTATCCTCAGTTCCTGCTCTAGTCAACAGAGCCAAGGACATGATTCCACTCATCCTAAGTGCAGGCATCCAAAACACAGCACAGGAACCGCACCCAGAAAGTGCCTTTTTCTCCCCTCTAACCAAAAAGGAGCCTGGGGTGACTAGCTCCTGTCGAGAGCACTACAGCATGAAGGAGCTGTCAGGCAGAGCAAGCCGAGTTGGGCTCAGTTAATACACGCTGTACAACAGCTTTGAACACATATTATTTATCTAGCTGTTCACATACATGGACGCTCCCTGTCTGTTCCACGCCCAGGCCACAAATTCCTGAAACAGCCCCAAGAACACCTGCACCATGAGCTCCAGCTCCCATTTTTAACCCATCAGGACCCTTTGAATGCACAAGAACAAAAATCAGCAGATTCCTGTGCAGGAGTGGGCATGGGTTATTGGAAAAGTGCCTGTGATCATTGGATCATAAGTTTTTACTGGGGAAAAGGCTATATGGGTGTTCTCCTTTTCCTACTTTACTGGGAATTCTTCTCTTATTCTCTAGCAGAAACCAGAGGTGCAAGAATCTGAGAAAGGATTTTGCAAACAGCCAAGCTTTGCTGCAGTTTCAGCATTAAACAATTCTTACTTTCAGCATCGTTCATCTATGCCGTCCTTCCAAGCACCCTGAAAGGTTCAAAACTTGCCTGAATTAGCACAAGGACATCATCAAAGAGCAGAATTCGGTCCGATCGATTCGTGCTGGCAGAAATGGGAAGATTTTTGCTGTCTTCCAGCAGCCGCCTTTCGGGAACACAGAGCATGTCCTGTGGAGGGAAACACAGAGCTAGAGATGGCAGACAGCTCTTGCATTCCCAAAGAAACATCAGGATCTGAAAGAGCGTGTGCAACTCAAGACCCCACAGAGGTTTGGGGAGAACACAGAGAACAGTGACAGCAGGCTCAACTTCTAAAGCATTAGTAACCAGAAGGTGTGTCCAAGGCTTCCAAACTGTGCAACAGCCACCCAACAGCAACCAAATCAAGTCCCAAATGCTTGATCCATATACAATTTCCCACTACTGAGTAAGCAGAAATACAAGACCACCAAAGACCACCCCTACTACCAAGCCACCACCTCTATCTCTGACTCACCGTGAATTTGTAGCCCAGGGATTTCCATAAGGCCTTGGTAAAACAAGCCTCATCCAGGACTTGGCTGATGAAGGACTCAAGCTTCACATACTCCTTGATAGCACTGGTAACTAAGTCCTTTTCAGGGCCCTAAAAAAGGAAAGCAGGACTTGAGAAACGCTTCAGGCATGGCTGTGCAGGACTTCCACTCTCTGGGCTAAGTTGGAGAATAGCCTCAGCAGCTCCAAATCCTCAGAGAGGGAAGGAGCTGCCAATATATCTGCATTTAGCCTAGAGGGGCTACATAAATCCAAACTTTCCCTCAGTCCAGAAGTATTTTCAATCTACAGGTGTGCACCAAGTTCTGCAAGAGGGCAGCTGCTTCATTCACCATCATAATGCCCCACAGCTCTGCAGCAGATATTAAGTTGACCCACTCAGGCAACATCATATATAGCCTCTTACCTCTTTCAGAGCCTCGTTCAGCTTGGTAAGGAGCAGCACATATCGCTCAACGTGATCCCGGATTGGCTTGTGAAGTACAGTGTACAAGGCCAGAGACATGGAGGACTCAGAGGTGAAGTCTGTGAGGAATTGCTTCAGCACTGTCTTATGGTGCTTCCAGGCTTCACTGCAAGATTGCAAATCAAGAAAAAGGTTCACTAACTAGTTTTAATGCAGATTCCTACACCTCTGCAAATGTGATGGGCTACCTCCCTGCCAGACATAGTATAGAAAGACCTCAGAGAGCAACACAGAGTTGTGCAAACATATTTGCACACCAAATACACAGAAACAAGGCAGTGAAGTCAAACAAGCTCTATCCACTCAGGCTCTGACCCACAGCCCTTTGCAAATAGGAATTACACCATCAGATATGCAGAATATAGCATGACTTCCATAACTGTTTGCACACCAGAAGAGTGACTCAGAGTGGCTGCAAATCTACTCATCTCCAGCTCATCCCTTCAGTTGCTGAAAAATGAACCATGAGACTCTGACCACATATGGGACAAGCAGTGGAAATTTCTTGTACAGAAAAGCTATTTCCATACAATTGTTAGCCTGTTCAGAAGGTTTGGTATTCCTCTGAGCAAACCAACAGAAAGACTTTAAGAAAGGAGCTGTTGACACAACCACACTCGGCTAAAAATGGCAAAGTAAAACTCAATTTTGCTCCTATTCTTAATGCAGAGGTGCACACCAGGTTTTGGAGAGCTTGTAAGAAGGTGGCTCAGGGATGCTGCACACTTCAGTAGCAGCCAGGCTCTGCTTTGCAGCCAGGCAGAACTACAGCACTGCCCCAGCCACTGTCATCCTGGGCTCAGTTTCTCTACAGCAAAGCATGTGACCATGCGGATAAGCTCCATCGGACCAAACACAGGCCTTGGGAACCTCCATCTGAGCTGGGCACTTCAGGATTCCCTTATAGGCAGGGCAGAGAAATGGGCAAATGGGTGAATCAGGTTCCAGAGGTGCCTATCATCAACTACGAAATGAGGCACCAGGATAAGCTCAGGTAGAAGTGCCAAGTGTATCTCTTTCCAAGCCTAAATTGTGACCAGCTCACAGACTTTTGCATTGACATACACTGGCCATAGGTTCAAGGTCACTCTCTTAGTATCCACAAGAAGTCACATATACCTCACTAAAGAGCAAACCTGGAAGACTTCACCTTGGGGTTTCTGAGAGAAACAGAGAGCTCTCTATTTTCTTAGAGAAAACAGAGAGCTACATAATCAATAAGCAGGCATGGCCCTTTACTGTGGGAACTCTTCCACATAAGATTAGCTCTACAATATCTGCCATGCACGCACCCCAGAGCCCCATTCCCCTTCCTTGCATATGTTTTGCTCAGTGGATTTATGTAGCCTGCAACATAGGTAGGCTGTGAGCTTAACTCCCAACAAAATATTTAACTTGTTCATGGATGGAAAGAGAGTGAAAGAGAACTGCAGGGAAAACTTTTCAACACCTGATCCAGGGGCTTGGCAGAATGCAGGAAAAGCTGGTTCAGAGAAGCAGCAGTTGGCTGAAATGATGACCAGGGCAGTGCTCAGTGCTGCTGCTTATTCTGTCCTAGTGCCTTAACCCACATTTTCCCTGCAGATCATTCCCTCCTGCCAGACTCAGACTCCCAGACCAGCTTGATGTTTGCACTTTTGGAATCTCTTTCCTGCCCACAACATTACTGTATTCGTGTCAGCTGCTAAATAAGTATTTTTCAGTCCACTGACCTTTTGCTCTTTGTAGCATGTTCAAAGCCGTAGACTACAACATAATTTGCAAACGTGACAAAATACCTGTTTTTTAAAAAAAAAAGAACAAGTGTGAACAGAGTTAGAGGTGCAAATATACAAGATTTAAGAAATAGCAGGAGCAAAGTCTTTTGAAAACATGGCCAGCTCAGCCTTTGCAAAGGGGGTAGCTACTGTGCCCTCTGTTTGCACCATCTCTGCAGTTTAACTGTGTCATTGACTGTTTACATTAGCTTCGTTACAGAAAGTCTAAATCTTCCTGCTGTTTACTGCAAGTAGAAGTAATCTTGTGCAATTACCCTGGAAAAGAAATCTCCAAAGACTGAGCTTACCAGCATCGGATGCATGAATTTCTTCTGCTTGAAACAGAAGCATCAAGTCATTATTATTGTTGATAAATCCTAGGCAATGTGTTTCATGTCAATGTATTTTGTCTCACACTAGAGGGAGATCGAGCCATATTTTGTCAGCAAATATCATGCCTTCTTCCAATAGTGATTTTGCATGTCACGTATTCTGTCCAAATCAATTATTTACTACATCTAGCAGGCTTATCTATTTATTGCTGATTTTCAGAATCTTAAAGAAGGTCTTTGCTTGCTCCTGTCACTCCAATAAATATGAGACATAATAAAATCAGGACTACACAGGGTGGATCAGCAGAAGCAGATAGGACCCAGCTCTTAGTGTTTTAAAGGAGGAAAAAAAAAAAGTTACATTTTGTTTCAAAGATGAGGGGAAAAGGGATCTCCTCCAGATTAGCTCCACTTTTATGTCAGTTGAAATCTGAGTCGACTGTGGGGTGAGGCTGTTATGTTTTTTATCCACACCATAGATATGTATATCCATGTCTATCCATTACGTACTATCAGGCCCATTTTCAAAATGCAACAAACATTGTAGAAATGGGTTTATGAACCATGTCTGCTGACATCTTCCTCTTCTCATCCGTTTAAGTCCAAGCCTCCTTGTACATGCCTTTCTGCTCCTGATCACAGCCCGAGCTTTTGCTCTAACTTCCCCAATCACAAATTGTTAGCCGCTTTCTCCTGTGGTTTTTTAAGCTGCCTAGAAATATTTTCAAAGAAAGAAAATCCCATCTTTAACACCTCTTCCAAAAACAGTAACAGATAGAAAAAGACTACCCATTAGATGGTCTTACATAGATCCCTTAATCAGTGGCATTTACCCCATGCACTGAATTCAACTGCTTCCTTGCTTAGTGACTGAAGACTAATGAACAGGATTGAACAAATTAAACATAACAGCTTTCCACAAGCCTACCAGAATTAGCAGAAACAGTCAGTAAATTGGGCCCCTTATGTTCGTCTGAAATCCTTCTGTACTTACTGAATGTAGAGGCTGAGAAACAGGTCTCCTTTCCAGACAGTGTAAAAGTCTTGGATGCAGAATGACTCAGAAGTGTTGCATTTTTGTTTGAGTATCCGGTAATTTTCTTCTGTGAAGTTCCAGAGAGCTTGAAATCGATCATTCAGCAGAAGTAACAGTTTAAAATTGTCCTTTCCTTTCTGGTCATGAGGCTCTTTGAGGAAGACATGAGGGGAGAGGTGGGAAGGCTTTGAAATGCCAAGAAATCTCACAGAAGGCACTGCCCAGATCTAGCACTCAACCCAACTTGCCAAAGTGAAGCACACACAGTCTTACAGGAAAATAAGCCCTGGGAGGAGGGAAGTGATTATTTTGGGTTGAGTCCTTGTAACTAATTGTATGGCTGCCCACGCTGAAACCTTCTGCTTTCCATTCTTGCAGGCTAAGTCTCAGCTCAAGCACGAGCACTAGAGGAAAATTTTGAGATCTTCCCCAAAACATGTTTTCACTTACACTGGTCAGAATCTAGATTAACCTCTAAAAACAACAGGAACCAGACCCCTAGGCTTACATGGAAGATCACATGAGGCCTCAAGATCTCACTGTCTTAAATGAAGCAATTCTACGTATCTATTTCTGTAAATCAGCCTGCAATAAGTCCTCATCCAGTCCTCAGTTTTCAATTATAATTCTCTTCGTAGGTGTACCAACAAGGTGACTCATGGTAAGGAGTTAGAGACAAAAAATAGTCTTCTCTGACCTACCTGCCTGGAGCAAAGGCTTGAGGATGAGGGCATCTATCCGTGCCAGGCATGCCGAGAAGGTTTCTTCTGCTTGGAGCAAAGATGCAGTTGCTTCAGCTGTGCACATGTCCTGGACACAACAAAAAAGACACATATAAACTTCTTGCATGCATATCCACCTACCAGTGGTTTCAAAGCTCAGTGAGAACATTCAGGCTTTTCCCTTTGGACAGCACGCCAAGAGAGCTGCATTTGCTGCCCCAAAAAAAACAAAATAAATTTTGCACGAGGAAACAGAAGCCCAGCAGCTCAACATGAGATGGAGTCACAGAAGTTCACTGAAGCTAGAACCTTGTTTTCCTGGTTTCCCAGATGAAGAATTTCTCACGTCGACCGTGATGTCTTTCTACATGACTGGTAAGACCGTAAGCTTGATAAGTGCCTTAATCCTGTCTAGTGCCAGATCTGTCCTTCCAGAAAAAATATCGCTCAAGTACAAAGCAGCAACTGGTGAAGCAATGTGTCTATTCCCATTTTGCTCACCGGTTTTTGGCCCCGGTGCCCAAGTCTGCACCTTTTGGCATTAAAAGCCATGGTACGGAGCCGCAGAGCCATGTCAGAGCACCCAACCCTCCAGAGATCTGGTGTTTCTCCTTTCCGTGTAGGACTCTGTGCTCCTGGTTGTGTGTCACAACTGCTGGGGCTTGCCTAAAATGGAAGTGTCAGCATAAAAAAAAAAAAAAAAAAAGAGGGGGAAAAAAATAAAAATAAAAAACAAAACCACAATGATGTGAACAAACCCCAGTAACTTCCTCCTCCTGCCTTCCAGCCCTACCTTCCAAAAGAAACCTATCAGAGGAAGTGAACACCAGCTAATAGCATGTCATAGGAAACTAATATGGACTAATATGGAAAAAGCTCAGGTGGTGAAAATACTATGGTCGGAGAAAAAAAAAAAAAAAAAACAACAAATAAAAACCCTCAACATTCTTCCAACGTAGCAAAGCAAGACAACAAATGGGAACTGCAAATGCTCTGTCCGCATTTATTCTCAGCCTGGTTACAGTGCATTCTCAAAAACTATGGTTACAATAGTAATCTGATGAGTATAATGTGCGATACTACAAACATTTAAGTTGGCAGCACAGATTTCTGAACGTTTCAATGTGGAAACACCACTCTCAGGTGCGGGCCATTTGAAATGGGCAATTTGCACATAGCCATGCAGTTTTGGGAGTTAAGGAGTGAATAGCTATATGACTGTAGGTTATGCCACAACCATCTGGCCATGGGACTAGGTTTGCATATTTGCACTGTCTCTAGGAAGAGCTGATGTCAACCAGCTCCTGGTGACCTACCCTGAGGTTTCTTCACATCTACCCTCATCTGCACAAACCATATGTGAAATTCAGTCTCCCTGTGTTGCAATATTTGCTTTTTAAGTTATGTCTCTAAGCCTAAACTTGCTTTATCCTTCATGGGGAGAAACGTTTTGGGCATGTCACCATGGACTATGGAAAGGACATCTGGATGACTAGCTTAGGTGGGAATGCCTCGCTTTTAAGCTTCTCAGGAGGTAGGATTCCTTACTGAATTAAAGTTTGAGTTCCCTAAAGCCACCAAACCCTTCTCACATGCCCCCTTTTCAGGTCACCCTGAAGCTTGGGCTGAGATGGTGTCTTAAAACATGGGAAGCTACCCTGGTTTAACATGGATACTCGGATCCAAACATAACCGACTATGCCGGTGAATGGTATTTTCTCCTTAGTATCCAGTCTCTTAAATTTAATCTGTGCACAAAGTGGGAAGGATTAAAAAGTTCCAGATTTCACAATATGCAAGTTTTCATACGCTATACATCAAGACTGAGGAAAGCCACTCTGAGACTTTTTTTTTTTTTTTCCCTTTTTTTCAAGGAAGGCTGGTGATTTGCCCCAGGGGAATCTCTATGCATGCAAATAGGTCAAAAAGCTGGAATCTGAACTCCTCCTGTTCCCTCCCAGAGAGACCAGCTGAGCTAGGAAAAAAACAAAACACAGCAGCAGCCGGCCAGCTTCCATCCCAGAGCACTGAGAGGACGGGACAAATCCAAAAGCTTGTTTTTCATTGTCGGTTAATCCTCTCCCCATGTAGATACAAAGATAACTTTTCCCTTCCTCTCACAGGTACTAGAGAATGCTCAAGCTTGTTACAAACCCCTAAGCATAAGTGGCTTGCTTAATCAGGGAATGAAATCAGGCTGGATATGCAACAGCATTGCATTTCCAAATGCTTCAACAGAATAGCTAAGCAATCAGTTGTGTCGTGCTAGGACCACTGAGTAACGGGGTGACATGCTAGAACCACTGAGTAATAGGCTTGTGGCCTTTATTTAACTTATTTTGTCTATTTCGGGTGAAGGAGGAAAGAAAAAATTACCATTTCTGATCCCTCAGGTAGAGGAGGAGCTTGTTCTTTAGACTGCTGAAAGAAGAGGTTTTATCATGTGCATAAAAGGAATAGATGCTAGATGCCAAACCCAAAGGTCTTCTCCAAATCTCCTCTTTTCCAAGCAACCAAAAGCACCAACCAACCATCCACAACATACGGACGGTTAATATACACACAGAATTATTCGAGCCACAAAGGCAGACGCACACAGCTTGGCTCTACACAGCCATAGTAGCTCACAAGTCCCTTCTGAACATGAGCTGGTCCCAACTGCAAACCCAATTATTTGGAGACTCGGTTCCTCACACAGAGCTGAGCTCAGAATTCACCCCGAGTGCCCCAAGGCATCCCTATAATGTTGTACCTGTGTGGAGAAACCTCTGCAACAGCCACAACAGGAATCACAGACACCCAAGCTGGGTCTCTGTTACCTGGAATGTACCAGTCTCTCCCGACACCTGATACCGAGTTAACACTGTGGTTTTTGGCCATCACATTCCCGCCCTTCACTGAAAATCTGCGGCCTAGTTTCAGCCCAAACGTGACAGAATTAGACGAGTTGCTGAATGAGTGGCACCAGCTGGCTTTCAAAATAGCTCCTCTGGCAGCACAAAAAGACCTAAGTTGCCACATCACATCACTCAGTGATGTACGGGTGACTTTCAGCCATCACTTCCAGTCTTTCCCCGTCAATTATGTGGGGAAAAAACAAAAAAACAAAACCCATATTTGCACACTTATTCGAGCCCAGTCAGGCAAAGAGGGTTTGAGGTTAGTTACCCAATGAATAAAACTCAGCCACAGAGTGTGAAACAACGGAGACCACCGAGGGCACGCGGAGGTCACGTTGCGCATCCGTGTTATGTGAAAAAGAATATGCAAACTGCAGAGCCACAGGGTGATGAACAGAAACCTGTGGTTGTCATGTGCTGCTGCCCTCCCGTGTGGAACCAGCTTTCACAGGGCTCGGTGGTTTGGTACTTCTGTGTTTGTTCACTGAGGGAACAAGGGAAGTTTGACAAGATCCACCCTTGTGTCTGTTTGCAGCATTTTGGTCTGTGCTTCACTCATGGCTTTGGAAGTGTTCACCAGCCGCCCAAAGCACAACAGCTTCTCTTGCTGGTAGCTATGACCGTTTTGATTCTGGTCAGCCAATGAACAGCATGGAAAACCTCATCAGCATGGGTCTACAATTGGGAAGAGTATGCAGATAGAAACAGGACAAATGAGTTTGAGAATCAGCATCTGTAAAGAGCTTCTAGATCTCTGCAGGTCAGCATTTTTTCAGCTTTTCTACTGCTAACGAGGGCAGAAACATCAGTGAGGCAGCAGCTAAAACAAGGGCAATTACTTGCTGAAAGATAAACAGGAGATTCTTGTGATAGATGGGAATACCCCAAGCCATCTACATGGAGGGAGCAATCATCCTCAACAGGGACTATCCAAAGCTGTTGCATGCTTATAGCAGCAAGAAAACATAGCTCTTCAGGAGCCACATTGGGGTGCTATGCCCATTTTGAGAGAATTAGAAGAAAGGCAGTTGAAACAGATAGGAAACCAAGCAAAGAGAAGTTTGGGGGCTTTGTTGAGCTTTGCTGTCAGAGCTGTAAAGATGATGATCTACTTCGAGTCTGTAGCTCTGAAACACATTCCACCAGAAAAATGTCTGGAAAATCCCCTAGACATTAGTTGTGACTCAGAATTTCTCATGAAAACACACATCCAGTCAGACAATCCTGTCACCTCCTCTACTGCAAGGAACAAACTGGATCTTCAGACAGGGAGCGCTTATTTTCCATCTTCCGCTTGTGAATTCCCCCCGTGTTGAACTTGCAGTTAGGAATCGATGAAAACAAAGACTTCTCAGATAGGAAACCAAGTTTACTGCCAGATTTAGGGTGTGCTCAGGGCATTTTAACACTAAACCCTGCGAGATGTAAATGCCATGTCTATGTTGTGCCCAATCCTGTTCTTAAATCTTTCTCTTTCCTTGCATTAGCCTTCCTAAAGAGCGTTGCTCTTTCATTGCTCCATACAGCTCAGACCTGCTAATACCATTCATCTTTGCAGCTCATGATCATTTTCTCCCACTCGAAATGAGACAAGTCAATCACACCATCACTTCTAGTCCTCCAACACGCCAAGTATTCACTCCCTTGCCCTCTGAGACACCATTGAGCTGTTGCTGTCACTCAGTTGATGATGTACCTTTCCACCAGCCCATGTCTCAAGCAAATCTTTAGAGAGACGGATAAAGTTGCCTCAACTCAAAGCAGGAACAATGTAGGATTCAACTCAGGAACAACATAGGAGTTTTCAGTTGAAACCTATAGGGTAATAAAGATATTTCTCTACTAGAGTAATCCCCAAACTGTTTCTCCAATATTGACTTTCAGCCTCTGGCCTGCTTTCTATCACAATGGTAATGGTGTTGCTTCTGCAAAAAGGCAATTGTTTGGTAGGGCCTTATTGCAGAGATGATAAATCCCCTATTACACCAACCAACATGAACAATTCAAGATCAAGTTAAACAACAACATAGGAGTTTTAAATTGAAGCCTATAGGTATTAAAGACATTTGAACTGCACAGAACACAAAAAGGTTTATGTCGAGGAGGGGGAATGCGTTAAAATTGGGGGAAAGTGTTAGGGGGGAAAAAAGAGGTTTGAACTTGGATCCTAGCCTCTAGTCTACTTTTCCAGGTTAGTTTTGAACATGGAC